ATACAGAGGTGGATGTTCTTTAACCGGGAGGGGGGTACGGGAATGCTACTTGTCTTGTGCACAATTCTGGGTTTGGCTACATAGTAGTTCCGGCTGATAACTGATTGTAAACGTCGATGCAATAGATTAGTTGCATCATTGCCATTAAATGGAAGATAAATCGTGACCAACCTAGACACTGACTCCACAACGGACTTTTTCATGTTAAGTTTACTATGTCTGTCTAGAAAACTTCCAAAATGAATGCACTCACCGGTCCAGGTTGCTTTACGATCTGAGTGCGGTGATACATAAACAGAACAGAAAGACCATTGCCTAATCGAGTTTTAGAATGTAGTATGAACTGGGTTCACCGCAAGGTTGTCATGCCAAGCTCCACACAACCGGCAGCCGGATAGGACCGTTCTTACAAAACACCAGTTGTTGACGATGCGACACCTCATTGATTGATTCTGATGATAAAATCGGAATGCTCAAAATCGCTGAGGTGATTGCAATCAAACAATCAAAAAAATCAATCTCGTGTCAACAAAGGGACCTGTTCATCACCCTGGCTTTGCCTTGATGACCCTTCCCTCGTTTACGTCTGTTTATTATGTAATCCATTCCTAAATCTTAAATAAACAATGCATTGGTTTGCAGTCGGCACCAACTGACATGCGGCGATATCGTCCAGGACATAAATCGTGCATTGGCTTCTCTTTTCAAACATATTGAGGGAAAAAGTTGTTTCCATTTCATAAAATGAAGTCCAAAAATTTTCTACGACCATCCTAGCGTGAGATGCGACATTGACCTTTTGTTGAAAGGTATGCTTTTTTGCCAATGTATTTCAAGGGTGACAGTCATCGAAGATCCACTACATCAGTTCAGTTCAATTTTTACAACCATTAACCATGCCCTTTCGTGCGCCGGTTTTTGTTGCTGTCTTTTGACCGCCAATTTGGATGAACAGTAGGAGAAGGACAAGAATCTGACTATTTGGGATCTTGCACTTTCGTCCGCCAGTTTTAGTTTCAATACCTTGACTGCTCATTTGGATAAGAGAACAACATTAGGACTGGAATGTTGAGAGCCAACTCCAGGCGGAAGATGGAGAATTCATATAGAATGGTGTTAGGAGAATAATGAGTGGATGCACGAGTGCCACTGTTTGTGGCATCCAGCCATATCACTCAGTGTCTCTAACCATTGGAGACCATCATTTCGGGGTCCCCAGCCAGGGAGTCCAACGGGCTTATGTGGCCTAGTCTCCTGGTTAGGGTCTTCATACCCTCGTTCCAAGTCTTCGTTTGATCACCTTTGACCTTTTTCCAACGACACTCTACCTTGGCAAACATCGCTCACCGTGGAAACCCATTTGGTGACATGCGCGACACGTCCGAATCAACGTAATCTGAGGTCAACTACTTGCTCCAGTGGACGACCGCGATTGCCTAAAACTGTACACCTAACCAGACTCGTCCAATGCGACGTAGACAGCGGTGTTCGAACACAGTGCAACAGATGTAGCACTATGCAGGTTGCCACGTGCGACAGCCCAACTACACATAATATGAAACGAATATTTACTTTTTACTAACGGCGGAATGGAGTGTTTTGGAAAACTGGGCCAACAGGTCACCCTCATCCACCTGATTTATTGCTCGCAAACCAACAGTGAAATAAACTGAACACCAAAGGGACAGGCCACGCGACTTGAATCAATGTGTTCTCAATTGTTGGTTGTTCAATAGTTATCAAATCTTGCTTCTATAAATACCAGATTGTTTTACGTTGTAGCGACTGAAGAGATTAAAAGAAATGTTAACATCTCGCAGTATTTGTCTTCTTTCGGTTCTAACGAATTGGATAAAGGGGACCCAATGTTTCATGTTCAATAACAGCTTCAGACAACCATCGCTTTCTCAACAATGGCACATTAAAATTGTGGATCATCCGTCGGGAATATCCTTCCTATTGGCTATTTGCTGCTTTTCTCCACTACGACAATTTGACTCTCGTTTTGCTTTGATGTGGTCGATTTTTTCTGCAGAAATTCCTCTGATTGTGCGATAAATAGTGCCCTGGAGGCTGAAACATCAGATTTATGCCCCTCTTTAATACGCTGCATCACTTGTATACCGAAAACTCTCATTCGGTTTAGGCATGATGATATTCCAAAAAGCTGATTAACTGAGTTGACTTTTGAAGGTCAATTTTCTTGTTTCTTAGGCTATATTTTACTCTCTTCA